TTGGCAGTCACTGCATTATGGCTGCCATCACTGAACCTGTCCTGACCTTGACTTGAAGCCTTGACTTTCTGCCTTAACCTCAGACCTGCACTCATCAGGTATGGCCAGTGACCACTGAACTCTTGATTGAGCCCAGTTATAATCATTGGTCCTGCTCTGCTTGCTTTGCCTGGGAACTGTAGTATTGCACCCTTTGTCGGTGAGGCCACTGTCCTGCCGAGCTGGCTGTAACCCAAGGTCCCAGGGCCCCTTCCTTTGTAGAGCAGACTTACCACTACTGTTCCCTGAAAATCCCCTCTGGTGCTCTCTTTTGAGTCACAGTAAACAGAAAACTGAAGCACTGACAAACCACTGTTCTGTGTTGAATACTTCTGGTGCTGATATGCAGCTTTCAGACTGGTTCAGCATGCTGTGCTTTTTCAAACATTTGGGAGCCCAAAACAGCTTTCCTCTAACAGTCCAAGAGGTGCTCTGGATGCTGTTTCTCTGACAACTAAAAGTATAGCATACTATGTGCAAAGTCCTGTGACTTCAGCCATGGATTTGGTTTGGTTAAAAGAAGGTAGGCCTTTTGAGGAAGTCAGATATGCAAAGAAATGTGGAATGATCGCAGACAGACCAATTATGTTCCCAAAGGGTAGATTTGTTGGCTCCAACCCTGCTCCAAGTGGCATAGGAAGGAAGGACATGTTTAGGCCACAGAGCACCCTTGTCCTATGCATCACTGAAAAGAGTGATCATGTGTGTTAACACTGTTTTCATCCCACAGACCTCTAGTAATAATGAGTATCCAAAGCAGCACAGTAGGTAGAGAAAATGGAGCGTAGCAGATGGACAGACGACAATATCTTGACATACCAGTTTTGCTCATGCTGAAAGTGAACAAAAAAGACTATTGGACAATACCTGAACTCCATCCTTACTTTAAACTTTCACTGGATCTCAGAAAGCTCAGAAACAGCAGGTAGTTTTTGTTCCCTTTTGGCTTCCCTCATCCCTTTGTAACACCCTCCCTGCTGCTCTTTACAGTATTGCTTCCTACGTGGGGCACAGTCACTGCAGCAGATCCCTTATAGTAAGTCTTGCTGGCCCAGACCAGCAATGCACGGGCACAGTTCTGGGCCCAGCTATAGATACTGGGTTACAGATGTTATTAAACTTTGTTGAATCTGCACTTTTACCTGTCATTTTAACTTCTGGAGCAAGAGGAAATTTTCTCATCATCTCCTTCATAAACCATATAGCTCCATCCCTTCTACAATATTCTTCTATTCTGAGATTATTTTTTTATACAAAGTAGAGACTTGTCATTTAAAATGCCACTGGACTTTCACCCAAAAATATTTCTGTCTTCTCCCAAAATATTCCTAGATACAGTTTCCAAGTACAGTGCCACTAGTCTAGATTTTCAGCACATAGAACAGAACCATTTGCTAGCACAAAAATTAAAAAAAAAACAAAATTGATACCTATATTAAGCTACAAAACCTAATTTTCAACAGCTATCTATCTTTTGGAAAACTGATAAACACCATTTTGTATACCTAGTGACACCTAATGGGTTATTGTAAAACAGAAGTCAAATACATCTGTTTCACAGCAAGGACACTAGGTGGACCCTCTGCCTTGAAAACTTCTCTCATGTTTTAGGAAGCCATTTCTGCCTTTTTTTTTTCTCCATTTCCTTGCTTTAAAAAAAATTATCTAATGGAAGAAAGATTTAAAAATAGAATAGCAATTTTTTTCCTGTTATAATAAATACTCCCGTAATTAATGTTGATAGTTTTATTGTCATTGTACCTTGAAAGTGCAGAATGACAGGAAGGCTTATTTCTGTTTAATAGCAGTTTTAGGATTGCTTAATAACCTTACCCTCTTGCTCCTCAGGACAATATTTGACTAGTCTTGTCATTTTTCTGAGTTGTAGCAAAACTTTATTGACTGATTTGGGCTATACGGGAAACACAAATATAACGTATGCAACAAGCCTTGAAATTTTATATTTCTTGAAATATATTTTTGCGTAAATATTTGTATTTACAATAGCTATTCCTTTATGACTGTTCTGAGATTTACAGTATTCACATAAGATATTTTAGTGGGTATGAAAACATGCCCCTTGGCTGTCAGCATCACCATCTTAAGTTATATTTAACGCTGATGTTGCAAATGTTTCAGGCAGCTCCAAAAACCTGCTTTCTTTAAAACTTCTGAAATTAAATATGGTAATATGTGGTTTTGCATGTGTATCCTAGCAGGAGGGACATATCTAATTCTGTTATTAACACTAATAAACTTTTTATTTGGACAAAATGTAACCTACTTTCCCTCTAAAGACTGTGAAATAACAAATAATGTCTCTAGAGGATTATCACTTCAATGGGCGATAAGAAAGATTTCTTCATATGAAAAGTTCACAGAATCACAGAATCACGGAACGGTTGAGGTTGGAAGGGACCTCTGGAGATTGTTGAGTCCAAGCCCCCTGCTCAAGCAGGGTCACCTAGAGCACATCATTGCCCAGGATCAAGTCCACATGGCTTTTGAATATCTCCAAGGAAGAAGACTCCACAACCTCCCTGGGCAACCTGTGCCAGTGCTCAGTCACCCTCACAGGAAAGAAGTTTTCCCTTACGTTCGGACAGAACTGCCTGTGTTTCAGCTTGCACCTGTTGCCTCTTGTCCTATCGCTGGGCACCACAAAGAAGAGTCTGGCCCCATCCTCTTGACACCCTCCCTTCAGATACTTGTACGCATTGATAAGATGCCCTGTGAGCCTTCTCCTCTCCAGGCTGAACAGGCCCAACTCTCTCAGCCTGTCCACATAGGAGAGATGCTCCAGTCCCTTCATCATCTTAGCAGCCCTTCGCTGGAGTCACTCCAGTAGCTCCATGCCTCTCTTGCATTGGGGAGCCCACAAGTGGACACTGCGCTCCAGAGGTGGCCTCACCAGGACGGAGTAGAGGGGGAGGAACACCTCCCTCCACCTACTGGCAATGTTCTCTGCCCATCTCTCCAGCCTGTTGAGGTCCCTCTGAATGGCAGCGTGGCCCTCTGGCATATCAGTCACTCCTCCCAGTGTTGTATCATCAGCAAACTTGCTGAGGGTGTACTCTGTCCCGTCATCCAGGTCACTGATGAACAAGGTGAACAGGACTGGACCCAGTCTTGACGCCTGGGGGACGCTGCTAGCTACCAGCCTCCAACTAGACTCTGCACCACTGATCACAACCCTCTGAGCTCGGCCATTCAGCCAGTCCTCAATCCACCTCACTGTCTGCTCCCGCACTTCCTGACCTTGCCTATGAGGATGTGATAGGAGACAGCGTCAAAAGGCTTGCTGAAGTCCAGGTAGACAACATCCACTGCTCAGTTATGGGTATGAGTGAGCTGAAGCAGTTCAGCTTTTAAGACAAACATTTTTTTCTTGTTTTTAAAGTTATATGTCGTTTATGTATGACCTTGATACATTTACTGAAGACATCTGGAGGAAATTTTTGATACAAGGTATTGAGAGGAGGTGATGGTAAGAGCAAGATCTGTAGACTTTACCATGCTTAAATGCAAAAGTAAAAAAAAATCTTAAGATATTTCGTGACTTCATATATGGGTACATTACCATTTTGAAAATAGGATGTAGTCTAAATCACTTCTGTCCATAATCATTACTCACTATGTAGTATTCTTCAGGTTTTGTGATACGGTAAGCCAGAATAGGTAATGACATGTTTAGTTTGCAAAGCTTTTATTAGATAAATACAAGGACCACCAATTAACATTCAGGAAATCAATGATATGTCACTAGAATGAAGACAGGAATAATATCAGTTGGGAAGACATTGTATTTGAAAATGATTTATAAAGAAATGCTAGACTTCCTGTATGCACCCCCAGAATAAGAGACGCAGCCTTATAGTATGGGCAGCACAAAAAAGACCAACTGCCTTCCTTCCAGAAGAATGGTGTTCATAAGTTTAAAATGTAATCTGAAAGTTGTCCAGGTATCAATTCAAGGATGATTATTCAATGAGTTCATCAGAAAGATACCAGGATTATTCTGAAAGCTGTTTTTGTTTCACAGAACTCCCTTGGAGAAATCAGATTTCTCAGTACTGGGTTTTTTAGTAGCATTGGTGGAATTTCTCACAAAAATCAAAATGCAGTCCCTGTCTCCCAAGGTACTAAATAACAGTGGGAAATCTTGCTAAGCTGCCTCCTGAAATCCTCATTCAATACTGAATATAAGTACGGAATCCATTTTGTGTGAGCAGGTATGTACCTCTACCTAAAGATCTGAAAAGCTGTATGCTTCTTCAAGAGTATCTCCTCACTTCAGAACTTAAATGAAGACAACTTATATTAGAAGACAACTTAAAGGTGTGGGCTGCATAGTAGATAAGTTAAGGCTCAGGGTGACATTATGATGACAGAACACCCAGAAGCTACTCCTGAGCAGCTAGCAAGAAAGTAAGTAGAAAACATTGACATAGGAGCCGGTTAATAACCTGCACAGCAGAGTCTTACCCACAAGTATCCCCTCCAGGCTGGTGGTCTCCAAGCCCTTGGTTAAGGCACTGGCCATATGCATTAGTCAGCAAGATCCCACTGGGGAATGGGACATGCACAGACCGTGGCTTGCTATGTGAGGGACTCCCAAGGACTTGGGGTCCTGCCTGTACCTTGTTCCTGGAGTGAAAATCAGTTGGCTCCCTCCTGGCTAGTGGCGGGGGGCCACCATTCTCACCTCCTTGTTCACTCAGCCTTGGCTCAGCTCAAACCATCCTGAAAGCAGTATGGGAGAAGAAGGAGCAGACATGTTTGGTGCTGTCTCCTCATCTTTGGATGTGGCTTTGCTAGGGAGGCTTCTCAAATGGGCATTGTTTAGATCAGGCTTTCCACATGGAGAACACGTGGAGGGGATGAGGTCATGCTACCATACTACAGTAATGGGAGTCTCTTTCTGAGGGGAAGGAAATCATTATTTCCAGCTGTCTCTGTTTTTAAGGGGAAAAATATCTGCCGAAGAAGAGGATGCTGTTGGTTGGGTTGTGTCTGATCAAGAGGAGGAACGGGTGGTCGGCCCTAAACTCCGCAGACACAGGGGAGTGTTTGATCTCTCCCATAGCTCCTGCTGAGCCTGCCACCTCAGTGCCTGCTTCACTGACTTCCATGGATGCCTCGTGGACAGCCTCGGACATCTTCAGAGTCTCTGCTGCAGAGATGCCAGACAGATTGGCTGCTGGGCTGAACAGGTCGGTCATGCCCAAAGCCGTTAAGACCGATGTGAGATTATATTTTTCCTCGAGCTTCATGCGGGGGAGGTACACTTTCACTGTCTTCTTTTCCATCATATTGGGACTGGTCCATTTAGCCAGTTTTTCAAAGCTGATTGTGCTCTCCAGCTGCAGAGAGAGGCAAGGGAATGAAATCCCTCAGACAAGAATATGACTTCCTCCCACTGTTCATTTTTAACAAGGCTACTCATAAAAAAAAAGAAAGAACGGAGCAGTCCCCAATGTGCATTCCGTTGGCATCCTTCTTGCAGTTTACTGTTTACTTCTCCATTGCTGCCTATGTCACTGTCCCTTTATTTGCTTCCTCGCCCACCTGACACATCCCCTCCTGTCCAGCTAAACTAGTGTCTCATGTGGCACAGCACAGCAGTTTGAGTGGCTTGTTGACCATTGGTCAGATGGTGAAAGAGACTGCCAGCAAAGCAATGCAAATTTATCGGCAGTGGAGTACCAAGCAAATGCAAACACTTCCACGTCCGTAATAATGGTTTTAAACACAGTCCCAGTAACTTGCTGAAAGAGGAATAATGCATTATATAAAGTAGGCTGCATCATTTTTTCCTCTTTCTTGATTATAGTTATGTAATTTGACATCACCTTGGTGACTTCACTTCAAATCATTGGTATTGGAATTCTGATTCTGTTTGCTAGCTCCTTCAGAATCCCTGCATTCGCCCAAGAGTTTTGCACCGTTTTCCTCATTAAAAACTGAGGCAAAAGGTTCATTCAATTTTGCATGCGTCAATTTTTGCACACACTGCATGCATATGACTTTGCACTCTTGTCTCACAGCGGCCCCACTTTGCTCTTTTTTTCTTTACGGGGCAAAAACATTTTTGCTCTCAGCTTTCACTTACTTGGCAAAAAATAACTCCACCTGACTCAAAGCAGTTTTGATATTTCCTTTTACTGTCTTTACGGTTCTCACTGTCAGTCCTTGTATATTCATGGGCTCTTGCCAGCATTCCTTCTGTAATTGACATTCACCCCATTAGCCTCAAAGTTCTTTCTCTTTGTTTGACATGGGACTTACAAGTATCTTCTATGCATTTCATTTACATCTGGTGTTATCACTGAATTTTAGACCCTCTTAACTGATAGTGCTGCAGATCAGTTACTTTAGCTTGTTGAGTTTCATCGTTTCAAAGTGGAGAATCTTCTGTTGAAAACAGGATTTGGCTAACTTTCCATTTTATTCCTTAGCAAAGTAATCACAGAAGTATTTTGAAAGAAGTTCATTTATTGTATTTTATGTGGGGAAAAAAATCTATTAGCGATTCTTGCAAAGAACACCTGGTTCTCACCGGTATTAGTAACATTAGCTCCACAGTTAATAAGGGGGAAGGGTATGAAATTCCCTCTCAATGAAAAAAAAAATTCCACCCGTACCTCCATGCTCTTCTGCAGGGCTACAGCAGCGCTGCCCTGTGAAACCCACCTTTACGAGGTTGAGGCAAGGGGCTCCTCTAAGCAGCCCTTCTCTGCCTGAGCCCTGGTAACCCCTGGGAGGCTGTTGTGTATCCCAGCCCAGCCAGCACAGCCCTCTCGTGGGGAGCCTGGCTGAGAGCAGACCGCAAAAGGCCCAACGGCAACCAAGTCCCACTGAAGAGGTGCCTCCGCTGCTTCCCCTGCAAGGCCCTTACCTGCTCCAGGCTGGAGGCGTCCTCAGGCAACAGCACCAACATGCTCAGCTCTCCGCTGGCGTAAGGAAGCTCCAGAACTTTTATTTTCTCAGCAGCCACCTCTGCCATTTTGAACGTACCGTTCTGACACATCATTTGCACAGGTTTGCTTTCTTGCTGCAAAAACAGAAACGGGAGAAGTTGTGACCGGGGAGCAATGCTTTCTTTAGCCAGGCAAATGTACAAGCCCTTTAAACGGGGCTGGGCTTGTTTCTCAAGCAAGGCGCCTTTGAAGAAGAGATGCACCTCTGTGTTCCTCTCTTGCCTGCCGCTGTGGTCAGGAAGCCTGGACACAGCTGTTACAAACACTCCTTGGGCTAAACCCCAGGTGCTGACAGCAAGGGGCCCAGCTAATGCACCGGGGTGATGACCATGGCGAGACGTGTGTGTAACACCCAGCCTGCTGGCTGTGAGCATGGAGAACCTTGCCTCCTGGCTAGATGCTGTGTCCCATGTCCCCCTACCTCCATCACTCTGAAGAGCACTTCCTGAGTGTCTTCTTCCCTGAAGGCTTTCTTCCACATCCCTTTGAAGTAAACGGCATTTACAAGCAGCAGTACAGTACTGAGGTCAACAGAGCCTGGTTCAAGGAAGTCTTGGATCTGTCCTTTAAGAAAAAGCACCAGAGTAGTGTGTTGCAAGGTCTCCTTTGGCATGCACAAATGCTTGCAATGAATGGCGCGGGGGTGGAGGTTGGGGGCTGGGAGTTGTATTTGCTTTGTGAGTTTCCATAGGTTTACTCTTGCATTTTAGAGATCTATCGACATGCTATTGCATTAGTTGAATTCCTGCACTTCAAAGGACTGTACGTAGAAATCAGGTTCATAAGAATGATTTAATACAGAATGATTAAATCTGGGCATCTGACCAGACATTTCTGAAGGAAGACAGGCCAGTTCAAGGGAATAGTATATTTCAAGCTAGTGGCTAGAAGAAGATGTAGACAGTGAAGAAGGAACTGGAAATGGAAACAGGGATATAGATTTGCTATCTCCCACTATCCGTCTTTTTCACACTACACTCTTGTTTTTCCTCCCATCTTAGTGCGGATAAACTACCACAAGCTCCTGAATCATTCCTTTCCCCACATCAGCCTAGTTTATGCAGTACTTCCTGTCCTGGAAACCTATTTCTCACACATGCAGCACAAGCATGTAAAGTGATTCCAGTGTTTTAGAGCTGGGGGTAAGCCAGCATGAGTTATGCTCTCCAGTCACAAAGAACGTGTGCTGTGCATATCCTGTCACCTCTGCCTTTGCCAGATATATTCAAAAACCCAGTGTTACTGCCACATAGGTGCAAAAAACTCATGCATTTCCACAGGAAATATCCACTTATGGAGATGAGAGGAAGAAATTTATCCTTTAATTTTTAGTCATTTTAGAAGTTGTTCAAATACAGTGGCAAGAGAGAAATATATTCCAAAATCTTGTCTGACCTTACCATTTGTCTGATTTGCCACCCAGGAATTAATGAGTTGTCTGGCTTGATCTGACGCTGTTTTGAAGTTGACCGTTTCCAGACCTGCTCTGTACAGTTTCTTCACACATTTTAAGTATATCTGTAAAGATAGCAATTGTAGCCAGCAAAACAACTAGTCTTTAAAAACAACATGAAGGTGAAACAAAATGTTTATAAAAGGACTCTTAATTTGTGCAGTAATGCCAAGTTCACCCTGTTCTGTGTTGCTTACTTACTAGAGCAAACTGTTAAAGCTGGGCTAGAAAAATTATTCTGACTCCTGACATTTTCATATCTGACATTTTTATTACTTGACCCATTAAAAACGTATGTTCAAGATGTCAAAATATTTTCTTGAACAAAACCTGATCCAAAAACATTGTTTCAGGTCCATTAAAGAATGTTTTCTTATCATTATGTCTGCTCTTTCTTTTGAAATATTTTTCCTGATTAAATGTCAAGATAAGAAGTTGCTTTGTTTTAGAATATTTGTATGTTTTGTTTTGAAAATGTCAAACGAAAGATTTTGACACTTTCAAAAGCTGTGTTTGAGGGTAGGTTTTGAAGCCAAGAAATGAGCTGAAATCGAATTATTGCCTACAAAAAGAAAAAAAACTATTATGATGAAAAGGCTTTTCTTGGGGAGTGGGTGGGGAAAATACTATACTCCCAGATAATTTCATTGATTAACCCATTCATTTTTTGAATATCTTCATCTTTTTGCCTGGAATGGCTTTCCATTCAAGCTATTTTCAGGTGTGTGCTGAAAAAGCCTTGGAATTCTACCCCAGTGAGGAGTGTTTGGTTAACGCATCGCCTTCCTTAGGCAGTGCTCCTTGATTACAGGTTTCTACCAGGCTTAGCTAGAAATTACTGTGATGTACAACTCACCGGTAGGATTGGACGTGTCTTTTCAGCATAGAGTCTGTTGGCAATGTGGAGCGAATAATTGGCTGTTGGTGCAGTGATATCAGAGAGGAGTTCTTTAAACAGTATGTGGATGTTCACAGACTTGCCACACTGAGTTGTTGATGAGAAGATAAGAAAGTACACTGTGTTAGCTTATTTTACTAGGAAGAGAGCTACTTATAAGATACAAGTAAAGTGGGAAAACACACCCTGTTCAGAGATTTGCAAAACAACTATAGCCTTAAAGCTTCATAGAACAGATGATAAATATAAGCAACTAGCATGTGGTGACACTCTTTCTAGGTGATAACAAACAGAAAATCTTCCTGATGAATCAGAAGCTACATGGCTCAGGAGCAAGGTGTTAACTGAAGAAAAATTCAGATGTAAATGATTTAAATTGGTGAGTGTTTCTAGTCACAGAGTCTCTAGCTTCTTGCTTCTGTTTGCATTTTCATGGAAACTTTGTTCGGATGTTGCAGATGCGAAAAGAGTGCTAGGCAATAGGAGAGTTGATGAGCTTCTCACAAAATAATGGAAATTGGATGAATTGTCTAATACCCTAAGAATGTTATTCTAGGTGACACAGGCTAAGAGTAGCTAAGAAAAAGTCACACTGCCAATCATAGGCAGGGGCTGCGTTTTTTGAAAAGGAGAACTGTGTTGAACTGCTCCTTTCTAAATGATTATCAGCCACTAAAACTTCTAACTGATGTTACCTTTAGCTTTCTCAAAAAAAAAAAAAACAAGTCTGTTTTCAGTTCAAGACCCACTTTACACTTGAGGATACCAAGGTGATGGAGACATGCCAGGGAGTGTGGTTTGTGCTGTCTTCACTGGGAGAGCAGGTGAACGTGGAGTGGAGCACATGCACGTGGAGTGGCTTTTTGATGAGTGCAGTTGCTGACCATCCCCTGAATTTTCTGGGGCCTTTTCTGCACAGCATCTTCCTGCCCCAATTTAGAGTCTCTTAGCTGCAGTCTGGCTGCTGCACCCTGGCTCCAGAGTCCCTTTCGTTAGCTGTTCCCCCAGCAACGCGCACAGATGTGCAAATGCATGTTTACCCAGGTAGGTATCGAGGTGCACAAAGCATCTGTCCCTGTCTTGCCACTTGTTCTGGTGCAGCAGGTGTAACCTGCCTTCTTTCTCCAGTTTTGGAACTAATTTGAGTTTTCCTCTTAAAGCTCTTTAACTGAGAATATTAGCAAAAGTGTGGGAAGGGGTTAGGCCTGCCTGAAGCACAGTCCAAACAACTCTGGTTTGTACTTTCAGGAAAAAAATTTGAAAGAGAAATAAATGTACCTTAGATTTCGGTGCCTTGAAGTGAATAGTTCCTCCAAGTCCTGCAATTTCATCGAAGTGAAGAACCTACAATTGAAAGCAGGAGTAGAATAACTTAAGTATGTGAAGACAACTGAGAATTAATGATGTTTGAATTGAAAATATTGTCTCAGCATAACCAGGTCTGATTAACACACAGATGAACTGAGAAATGGTATGTGAGCTTGAAATCACTTTTACTGCATGTGCTACTGAGAATTTAGGAATGCTTAGATCCCTGCTTACCAGTTACTTTTATTCAGTCTAGAAAGGTGTTACACCCACCCTGTATTCTGTTTATAACTGTGACTCTTGTTTTCTGAATGTTTCATTGCATATTACAAGTTGTCCATTGTATCTGGAAAGGATTGGGTCTGGGAAAGAACATAAGCTGAAGTAAGACACCTGCCTTAAACACATTCTTCAAGATTTCTTTTTATTAATGTAAACCAAAGGCTATTCTTTTCCTTCATGGTGAAAAGCAATGGTGAAATGTTCCGGATGCAAACCCCCTGGCTGTATTTCATTCTTCTTCTAGGCAAGTTTGAATTCAGTGACAAATGTGACTCTAGTTGACCTCTCAGGTGAAGAAAGTCCTGAAAACATTGGTGGATAATCGGTTGCTGTGGTACATAGGATCAAAAGGAGCTTGTATCATTTTATGTAAGTCACTTACCTTCTCCATCTGAGATTCGGTGTTGCCTCTTGCTCCCAGATAGACCATGGACAGGGCTGAAATGATGCTCAGGGGGGAGTAGAAGATGTTTTCATTGACGTGGTGGATTTTCAGCTCTTTGAACATATCAAAGCAAAATTCTGCATTTGCTGCACTGATGGAGCCCATTGTGAAATCAGTCTCGTCTAGAGTAAACAGAAATACGATTGTGTAGCGGTGATATGTAGCACTTACTGTACAAAATAATCTTAACAGCCAGAAACTGTTATCTGTGATGCTGAACCAAAGATGTCAAGCCTACAAATTCTGTGATCATAAGAAATATTACAACCTCTGACCCATTTCTCTGCAAATATGCCTGTTTTCCTTCAGCAAGATACTAGCTCATCATCAGAATATTATCTTGTATTTGCCTTTTAGGAAGTAGATAATTTCAGCCATGCTTCAGTATGATAAAAAACAGCACTGGATGGATGAGATTCCCTATGATATCCAGAGGATGTTTGAGACAATATAAACTTCATATTTCATTTCTCCTGTGGCTGCTATGGACCATGCTCTGGATCTTTCAAACATAGGTGATTTCATATATTCTTAGTGTGCTTGTTGCTGCTTTTTAGTATAAACAACCATGAATGTGGAGGTTACTTTCCTGTAATTTATAGGAATAATTGGAGTAAATTTCTCTGTAAATCTGGCTAGTTGCTTAGATGCTGAAATGTAGATTTGGCAATGTTGTTTGTTTGTTTGTTTGTTTGTTTGTTTCCCCTGTGTTCCTGTTTTGGTCATTTAATCTCTATTGAGGCTTTTTTTGCAAAGAAAAAATAAACAAGTGTTTATATCATAAATACAGGTTCTGGCAGTACAGCTTGTTGCAGTATAGAACCGAAACAGTTCAGTCAGGTGAATGTCCCACATATGCAAATGAATGTAGCACCTTGTGGGTATTCACTGAATCCTGCAGTCATGCACTCTCTTGAATCTGAGTCCAAATAAGCTTCATGCTGTTCTTTTATCTCTAAAATGACAGTTAAAAACAGAGTAATAGCATAGCCACGGTTTGGAGCAGATGTGTTCCTTTATGTGACCTGAGACGTGTCTGGCATTAATGACTGTGAAACTAGTCATTTATAGTGAACTGTGATATTGTTCCTCTCCTGTATTTTCTGGGGAGTTAGCTCAGAGAGATAGAAGCATTCTTTCTTTCCAAAAGAATTGTTAAAATGATGAAAGAACGATTTTAATATGACACCAGATTTTCAGTGCGGAAGAGGTAGGAAACTCAAAGCTATGGTAAGCAAAGACTCAAATTTTGCACATCTAAAGACATTTGACAGTCAAGTAGTATAAGATACATTGATAAAATGAGATAAAATTACTGTATATGCTGGGATTTCTACATATCTTTCTTAAATTTACCTTAACATTCTTAAAAATAATAATTCTTTTTTTCCATATTAAAGAATACAATGAATAAATAATTATAAATTGTATTTTACTTGTAGGAAGACTTACCCCACAAATTTCAAAGAGACAGGTAATAATCCAGCTTGCAAGCTGACCCTAAACAGGTTTTCTCAGCTCCTGTTGATATATATTGTACCATTTGGGACACTCCCTCTGTAAACCTTCAGGGAGTCATCCTTTTGAGTTACTACCCTTTGTTGTCGCCTTTTGATTTATTGCCCTTTGAACCATTGAGCAGAACAGCATTAGACTGGTACTTTATTTCCAGCAACTCAATCTTTATTTATTGAGATAACACCTAATGAAAAATTGAATGATTCAAGGTTTTACTCTGTCTTATAAGACTGTATCAAGACAAGTCTAGAGTTATGTTTAGAGCTGTTCTTTTGGATTCAAATAGTAATATGATTGAGCCTACAGGCAACTAGAACCAAGTGAATAATGAATGCAAAAGAGTGTGAGGAAAAAAAAAGTATTACAAAGATATTTAGTAAAATGTAATACTTTTTTTAATAGTATGCTTATTATAAACTGTAACCTAGCTGTAGCATCATGTCAAGTGATTTTCACAGTCATTCTATAAATCTTTAAATGTGAGGGTAGAATAAGATCATGTCATAGTACAGTGGTCTGAGAGTGAGCAAACATTTCTCACCACAGCCTGTCATTAATAAGCATCCACAACTATAGCTGAGGAAAGGGTAATCTTACATTACAGAGCAGCTGCAAGAAGACACATTAGACCTTGGCATTCAGATTATTAAGATTTTATTCTCTTCTTAGCTACTTCTCTTGTTCTCCCCTAAGAGGTACTATGAGTGAGAAGCACGCAAAACGTACTTTCACACAGTACTCCCACCAAGGCTGATGGGAAAAGTGGACATTGGGGTAATTGCTGAAAACTGATACGAATGCAACTCACTACAGTGTCTGTACAGTGAAAGAGGGGGAAGTGCCTCACAGACAGCAACAATTTGATATTGGAAAAATTATGCAGATCCAAGTAGAACTAGCTGCAGGACGGCCATTCTATTCAAAGGTTTTTGGAATGGGTTTTGTTTCACATAAAAACAAACCCAAAACTTTCTGTTTATTTTTGAAAAGCGAAATAGGACTGAAATGTATTTTGCCCAGTCAAAATGCAGAGCTATATTCCTGGAGTCTGAGGACTGAGGTGGCTTGTGGCCTGTACTTAACTGAAAGCACAGCCACAGGAACATCTATTTCTGCACCTAGGTAATACCAAAGGTTTTTACCTGAGATAGCACTCTATTAGGTATGAGCCAGAGGCTCTACAAACCTGGGGTGGGGGAGGAAATCTGAGGAGAAAACGTATTTTGCTAAAGCTTCATTTTGAAGAAAACATTCAAAGCATCAATGTTGAGATGAATTAGAGCGTGGAGGATGGGCATGTCAAAGGAAGAGAGTTGAGGAATAGAGTCAGAGAGTATTTGCCACTTTGTAAACTCAGACTCTAGAGTTCAAAAATGGAATTTAACAAGCCAATAGAATTTAAAGAATGACTGAATGATTGAAAGCGAGCTTTTAATTTGCATTCTCCACAGGTCACAGCAACAAGGCTTGTCGTATATGCACAGGCCATTCTCATATATCTTCTATATCTAACTTTTTATTATGGCAGGTGAATAAACTGCAGAATCTGCCTGAAGCAGCATTCATGGTCTGTTAGACAATCATAATGTACAATATCAAATATAATTCAATTTTAAAAAGCTATTACTCTCTACTGAATAATAGACTTGATGAGCAATAAATAAACAAATCTGCCATCTGTAAAGGCCACAAAGATGAATAATAGAAATTGCAAGTCTGTACATATAAAGTCACAGAACATACAGCAGCGGTTACACTCTCTTGTAAAGGGGAAAGGGGCTACCTTATCCTTTGCAATGTGTTTTGTTCTGCTGAAATGCCTGAGTATATGTGCAAAGTCTGATGACCGGGGTGGCTTGCCGCTTGCCTGCTCAGAATGTGCTTTCTGCCTGAGGATGTTACAGCAGTCATGAGGACGAGGATGTTACAGCAGTCATGAGGACATGTACATCTAAAGACAATAAGTACCTTTCCTCACAGCTTGTCTAGTGTTCCTTATTCTGTGAGCTGGGCTGCTGTAGGTATTGACTTCTCTGTCCTATCAAGGCTTTCCTGTGGAAAGGCACAGATTTTGTGTGGAAAGAGCTTTACTGTGTCTTCTGTTACTCTCCTGTTTTCACATATTCTTATTAGAATTAGAGCTGCTGGTCAGGGTGCTACTTGACTTTGGGGCTTCCTTAAAAAGCTTCCCTGGTCACACATGCTATCTCTTCATGCGCTCTGGTTCAATGTGTTTTTTCCATGTGAGTATCTGTAGAGCAAGTACCTGAAGAACTCAACTGGCCCTTCACAGATGTTTTCACTTCTTTGACCAATATCCAAGATTTTCACAAGAAACATTGTGTTGCATCCTCTCATCTAGAGGAAGGCATGTAGGGGCTTCTGCTTTGTTGTCCCAGATGATATATTTGTCTTCTCTATACATTCCACGTTTCATGCCTCTGCAACAGCATGATCACCACAACAGTGGTCTAGGCAAATTAAATGCTTCTCCTGCAATTCATCAGCTGAGAGTGTAGTGCTGTAAAGCAAGACAAACAGGATAAGCTATGTCCCGTATCCTTGTTTGCACCAAGAAAGAGGTCAGTGAGGACTCTGCTGCCCTCTTCTCTGCCAGGTATTTCATTGTGGAGCTGTTCCCAAACCAATTCATGATGTTTGCCATTCTTCCTCAATGTTGGCATAATCAAGGAGATGTTAAGCAGCAGAAAAAACAGCTCTTTCCACCAACATTCTTCAGTTACAGTTTTTACATTTCATTTCCTATGGTTGTTTAGCAATTGTCGTGCAGTGTTTGGGGGTAATGGCAGCTTATACTTTGGACCCGTTCGTGCCATGGCCTTTCTATCTGCATTATGCTTAGCAGAGGCTATTCTGACATGTCTCAAGGACCTTAAACAAACCAAGATGTGGCCAGAGATGTCAGATTTACAGGATGCCAGATGCTTTTTCCTCACTGATGGGATCTGTTGTGTTGGGGATGATCAGCTTTCCATGGTACATGCACATTCTGAGGAAGCTTGACATCGGTACTGGCGCTACCACTTCAAAGTCAACTAGCACCTTGCATTAAACCTCTCAGAGAGTCAGGGTGTCAGACTTGGGGCAGAATTAAGGTTAAGAGTGTCCCTTTCCCCTTGAGGGCTCCTAGTAGCTCATATGTCAATGTGTATTGTGTTTGCACAGCAACCTGAAGTAAGAGGAGGGTAAGCACATCAGCTGGTCACCTATGCCCCGATAGCTGGTTGGCTCTAGCAACACCTCAAACTAAAATCATAAAAACAACATTAAGTTGATATTTTTCTGCTGCACACCCTTGCCAAAAGAAAGTGAGAGGCTTGCACAGTTACCATTCCCCGAGTAGATGCAACTCACTCACTGCAACTGTCATACTCATGATGCTCTCTTGCGAGCAGTACAGTTATTTGCCCAGGGTGAGTAGCTGTCTCACTGGCCATCGGTGCCAGCGGATTCTTAACAGCGGTAGCGATTCATCCCTTTAAAGTCTGCTTTTAACAAAAGTAGAGTGCTGCATTGTGTGAGACTCTGTCCGACTTTGTCTTGTGCTCACTGTGACAGTAACTCCTGATGTCAGTATACCTGTCAGATTGCCTGCACCAATAAGACAAGACACACTACTCACACTAACATGTTTCTAGGAAAAATTGTTTTCTTGTAGCAATTATAGTTTGAAGAAAATAAGCAGTGTTCTTCATATGGGGAAAAGGGTATTATTCTCAAAACTATTCTCCTGGCTTTTTTCAGTGAAGACCAAAAACTTTTCTTCCACCCTTCTTGTCCAACAACTGCAAATGTTTTAAAGATATAATAGCAATTATGTTATTGATACATGATAAAACGGAGTTTGGAAGAGTTTAAAGGAGAGCAAAATATCAGAAAAAATGTGGAGAACTATCATCACCATAGAGGTTAGAGTACAGTCAAAAGGGGAATATTTAGACTGAGTGTTACTTGGTAATGAGACTGTGGAAAGTCACAGATAGGAAAATCTACACAGTGTGGAAATATTGGACTTGTCTTTCCATGAAAGATCATCCAAATAATATTTGTCTTCTTTTGCTTTGTTTTTTGGCAGTGTACGTGTTTGTTAGAGCGTGAGGTATATTGGTCTGGATGAGTGAGAAGGTATGTTGAACGGGATATGAAACAACATTCAGTATCAAGCCTGTCTTTGGGGAACATGAAGTCACACCACGCTTTGGGATGTATCTGTTCCAGTCAGTATTCATACTCTCTAGTTTCTCTGTACTCCACAGGCTTCATTGTTCGAATTGAACATTACCAGGATGCAATATGAAGAATCAGAGAATGGTTGAGGTTGGAAGGAACCTCTGGAGATCATCTGATCCAACCCCCTGCTCCAGCAGGGGCAAGCTAGATCAACTTGCTCAGGACCATGTCCAGTTAGGTTTTAGATATCTCCAAGGATGGAAACTCCACAACCTTTGTCGGAAGCTTATTCCAGTATTCAACCACCCTCACAGTGAGGAGATGTTTTCTTATATTCAGATGGGATTTCCTGTGTTTCAGTTTATGCCTGTTGACTTTTGTCCTGTCACTGGGCAGCACTGATAAGAGTCTGTCCTCATCCTCTTGACACCCTCCTATCAGGTATTTTACACATGTGGATAAGATCTCTCCTGAGCTTTCTCTTCTCCAGGCTAAAGAATCCCAATCTCTCTCAACCTCTCCCCGTATGGCAGATCCTCTGATTTCGAGGGTGAGAATAAGGAGCACTAGCCTACATCCCAGGGATTCGTGCAGGGAGATCTTTGAGAGCAAAAACTATTTTGTTTGAAAACTAACTTCCATACTAGGAGCAGAGGGCTACTTTCCAGTTCTTCCTTGTTTTCACAACCTTGTTTAGATTTTTTTTAAATTAAGATGTCAATTGGAAATAAAGATTATATAAAGAGAAATTGTCTTTATACTGCATTTTATTTCTGGCTCATAAATTATCC